TGTACTGACAAAGTTAAAACTCCAGTGAGGGGTTTAACATAGGAATAACTATACACTTTCACTGCATTCCGATGATGTGTTCAATGTCTCACACCCTCAACCATAAGCTAATCCTCAGGTAGAAGGCATTCATCAGTCAGAAATTCAAAATAACAAAATACTAACTGTAAACGTTTCCCATAAAAGCGTTGAAGCTAAGTGCATGCTTACACCTGTCCAACTTACAATGAAAGGGGTGACCACGTTCCAGGATAAAGGGGTGTCCAAGATATAGGATGTTGTGGACATGTAAAATTATAAGATATTCGCCGGTTCCAATTAAAAGTGTCCAGGATATAGGGGTGTCCAACTAGAGGGGTTTTACTGTATGTCCCACGGGCGTTGATAACAAAATTACGGATGACGAAAGTCATGAGGTAGACACTGAGATACTGCGATCTGGTGGCCAAAGTGGGGACTGTAGAACATGGATGATTTAATACCTCTAAACGCAAGATGCAAAGCACGCATGAGGATTACGTGTATTTCGGTGCGGAATACAATTTCCGAGCGTTTTCTAATTTCGCGGAGAGATACAACTGAATGGATAATTCCCGATATTATCTATGCACCACTCTATATTTCGCATTGCGCAATATATGCCTGACTTTTATGAATGCATAAATATATTGAGCGATCTTTCAATACAACCTCTAAACAATCAATATCATTGCACAATATTCGACAAAACCACACAAAATTTTTCCAAAAACAGTTAGTATCAGAATTCGATTAACAACAGCTTTGATCAGAGGGCGGAGAATTCAGCATTTAACATCGTTGTTAGTCTCCATTTGAAAATCCGGCGCCATTTTCCCTGGTATAACGAATTCAAAAAAAAAGTGAAATAGGTAATTTAAATCTCAGATTTGAGGTTACCATATCTCATGCGTGAAGACACAGATCGTGGTTTTCTAAGTAGTGACCACATGTAGACTTGTAGGTGATTACAAATGTTTTCGACAGGTTGTTCTGCATAAACTTCTGACTTAACGAAACAGAAAAGTTGCTTGTTTATGTATTTGTACCTACACTCACTCACTCACTCTATGGTGCAGGAACTTCTTTGAAAAATCCACTGTATCTCGGTTTATCAAAGATTAGCCCAACAGCCCACATTCTTTATAGAACCCGAAGGTTCATCACCGTGTCGACAAAAGCCCGCCACCGGACTCTGTCCTGAGCTAGCTACATCCAGTTCGCTCCATTGATTCCTATCCATCTTAACTTTATCCTTCCACCTACGCCCAGGTCTTCCCAGCGGACTCCTCCATTCAGGCATCCTAATCAATGCCTTCTAAACACTCCTCCGTTCAACCATGCGTGCCACCTCATCCTCCTCGATTTAATCACCCTAACAATATCAGGTGAGGAGTTCAGCCCGTAAAGCTCATCGTTATGAAATTTTCTCCATAATCCGTCTCTCCAAGGTCCAGATATCTTCCTCAACACTGTTCTCAAAGATCCTTAATCTATGCTCCTCCCTCGACGTGGGAGACCAAGTTTCGCACCCACACAGCACAACTGGCAAAAACACACTTTAGTATATTTTAACCTTTAGTATTTTTGATATGAGATGGGAAGAGAAAATATTTTGGACTGAATGATAGCAATCATTCCCCGAATTTAATCTGCTCTTGATTTCGTCATGAATGTCATTCTGACTTTTTAATGGTGCCCCCAAGTACTTTAATTATTTTCAATTTTTTCAAATGACTCATTACCTATCCTTTTATTCTGGTTCTGTCCTGAATTCTGATGCCGAGACATGATCATATACTTTGTCTTTTCTGCATTTATTTCTAGACCAACATTCCTACTAGCCCTTAAGAGTGTTTGTGTATTCGCTTTTATAGAATTTGTGTTATTGCCCAACAAAGTAATACAATCAACATAGACCAGAAACTGGTGTGTCCCATTCATTTCCAAACCGCCCTGATTTTCTTGGACTTTTCTCATGGCGTATTCTAAGGCAAAATTGAAAAGCAGCTGCTATAGAACATCTATTTATCTAACTCCATGGAGCAGAGTTTTTCTTGAGGAGTATAGACCGGAGGCTAACGTGTCCGATTCAATTACAATCTCGCATAGTTTGGTGAATTTCTTTTTGTTCCAAAGCAAAGTCGAAAAGCAATGGCGATAAAGCATCTCTTTGTCTGAGAAATATGTTCGTAATTATCCTGCATTATTGCTTATTTTAGATTTATAGTTGCGTGACTTTTTATATGCATGCATGTTAGTTGTTACTTTTTGTTTCATGATTTCTACATAAACTCTGCCGGTAATGATGCGTGATGGTAGAAAACGAATGAAGGATGTTTGTACCTGACATGGCAACTGTGCGGTACGGTAACGTGGGAAATCGACAGTTGCACTCCAACTTATCGATACTGATGCATAGTCCCACATGCAGAAGGCGTGGTTGTTCTAGGAAACCCAAAATAGGTACCATAAAGCTCAGAAAGGAACTAAAAATGCGACACGTAAAACATTAACATTTATGGAAAATATTAGCGCCGGATAATTTTTATTTTTATTAACATTTCAGGTTAATGTGGCGGAGAATATGGAAATGGCTGTCTTCTGGGTTGATGCGCCGTGTAGTCTGGTAGATGTTTACCAACGTTTCAGAGGTCATACTGCCTCCGTCATCAGGGGGATGAGTGATAATGGAGGCAGCAAGTACCTCTTAAACGTCGGTAACCTTCTACCAGACCACACGGCGCTATAATTCAGAAAAAAACAATCTTATATATTTATAAAGATCACCAAGATATTTCCAGCATGCAAGACAACCAGTACAGAGGATCAGGACGAACGAAAATGGTCTGAAATGTTTATAGCAATTTTAATAAATAATATAAAATGTTCTTAAATACCTAATCTTGGACTTTTGTTCCCTCTAAACCTCAAGCACTTTCACAATAAGTATGAAAAGAACATGTGTAAAAAACAAAAATTGTGCCATTTGGCTATTAAAAACAAAGATACCATCGTAACAGATATATCAGTCTTGCTATGTGCGACTTGAAAAACAATGTTACTCCATTTTCTGACTGTCTGCAAAATTATAAATAATTTTATTCCAATTTTCCGAAAGTTTGGCTTTGTGACATATGCCCCTTTCCTTCTAACAATATTATAAATATTTTTATTCCACTTTGCCAAAAGCTATTTTTTGTTGTTGTAAATGACGCCTCTGAAATGTTTGTGTTCTCCAAACAGTGTGCCTTTCCAAACATGTTTATATTTCGAAAACTCGTATATTTCCTTCAGTTTGTTTAATTTCTGATACGTATTGTTGTTCTAGTACACAGATACATAATTAACTGTTATAAATTTTAATGAACAGGTTTGAATATTTTGACTGAAATTCAGTGAATCGAATTCATGAAGATGGAAAACATGAAAACTGGCATTTTTGAAGCCTAGAGAAAATATACTGAAAAAGAAAAAAAAAGGACAGTTTTATATCCAGGGTATCAACTTATACCTGGAAAATTCTAGTACAAATAAGGAAAAAAGCAAATCACTTTTACCGCCGACCCATAACCAAAGATATATCATACATAACCCTACCTGTGACGTGATGCTGGCAAAGACGAGCAAACATGTTGACTAGGATTCCACTATTATCACAAATTACGTCCTGTGAAAAGCAGAAAGAAACACTATTAACATGATATATTTTACGAATACATATTATATTACAAATAAACATAAATATAGCAAAAGTCTGTACTCAGTTTTGAGTATTAATGTTCATTTGTTGCAAATATAAATTACTGGTGACATCTTACGTACAGTGTAGAATCTGCACTGCATAGTCATATTTTTATTGTCGATAAAATTATTCAACGCTAAAGATATTACACTGCAAAGAGCACAGACAATTGTCTTTTATGTATTGTTGTTCAGTATAAACATATCCGATATTTTTTTAATTCCATATTTAATCTTGACAATACCTACGTTGTATATCACGTTTTATTTTATTTCTCTTTCATGGGGGCTCTTTAAGAAATCAAACTAAGATCAAGTTTCATGTGTGGATCAAAACGTTATTTAATATGCATTGACATCTATTAAGGGATTTATAAAATGTATGTGAAATATCACAGAAGCCCTGAAGTAAAGAGGCTCTTTAAACAAAATAAAGTTAATGAATTTCAATATTAAACCTCAGATACAACTCTTATTCTTTCTATATTTTTAATCAACCTATATGTTTCGTCCTTAGGATCTTAGAATGCTACAAAGTTCACAAAACATTTGTTATTCTTACTTACTACTAAAATGTAGTTATATCATAAACGTCATAGCCTACGTAAAATTCTGTGCCTTTTATAGCCGTCACACATTCTTGTTAGGCCTTATGCTGGGTCAATGTTTCGATTTGCATTACACTTAACTGATAACTGTCTTATGAAGTTCTGTTAAAGCAATATAGTATTGTGAGGATAGTGAGAAATGGTTATAGCCTCTATATTGCGCGTGCTGCCTCTCTCGGCCACTGCCCACACCACCGACGAGCGAATTATGAAATCCTATTTCGTGACGTATATGTACACATTATTTTATTATGATTGCATTAATATTACAAAACCTACAGCGATTATTTAATGCCTACTTACTTTGCACCCACCCTGTATAATTTGGTACACTTCATTCAACTTCACTGGTCGTCTTTTCAGGTGAATGAACTGATACAACAGCATGGTCCACAAAAACAAATTTTCTTGTGAACGAAACTTACGCACGGTAAAATTTACGTTACGCGTCGAACATTAAGTTTCGTCACGTTGTCCCGACAGACTTTCAACAAATCCTAGTAAAACTTACTGCTTTTGACTTCAGCTGATGTAACCGCTCATCTGGAAGTAGTTAGGTTTTGTTAGTTTTTCTTTTGTGTGTGTTTCCAGTTTTCAAAACCTTTGTGTAAGATTCTAGCACCACCTGCAGAGAACAAGGGTGGACTTCAGCCCTAAGAGCTAGAAGTCATGTTTAGGCCATCTAGGTAACAATCCGATTTCGACTCCGTCTACGACAGACAAAGAAGTGCCTTTAGGAGCAAGTGTGGAGGATCATGTTGGGCGGTCCGTGAGAGGTCTCTCTCTGACAGCGGGGGGTGCTTCGCACCAAGCCCGGGACCCAGGCGCCGAAGAAAATTAGGGTAGAGACTCACTCTTGTTTTAAGTCGCTATAGCGGAGGTTCTAGGACATACTGGAAACTGTATATTGTATAGAAATAAATAGTAGTGCCTTCCAACTTCAATCCGAATCATTATTGGCTGGTGTGATCAGGCCGTTAACACGACCTGAGACAAGAGCTACATCCCGACTAGCTAGCTAGCCCTTAACAATCCTACACCCTGATAAGGCAGCTGTTACGAGGCCACGAGCAGTGGAAGGTTACACTGATAAAAGTCAGAGAGACAAACGTGAGGTCTTCGTCTGGCTACAGTAGCTGACTGAATTAACTGTCGGGTAAAGTCTGAGCGCAGCCGACCATAATTCCCTATAATTATAACACACGAAACGAGCACCCCAAAATCCCTATTATAGCAGACAGTTCTTACAAAAAATGAGACATTGGAAATAATAAAAGAACTCGAAAGAAACAATGCCAATGAATCAAAGTGATTAAAATTGAATGTCAGCCAGCAAGCTGCTAAGTTTTAAATATTGATGCTAGAGTCGAGGCTATTCGAATTATGATGCAAATGCCTTTAAGACACGAATACTGTGTAGAAAATATAGTCGGATAATGGTCTCCAAACCTGTTAAAAGTGATAAATTACTTTAGTAAACTCTATATTAATATATGCTGTTATAGTCATTGAACCACGCTTTCTCGAAAGAAACTGTTGAACGACTGCAACTTTTCATTGTTCTACATCATATTATTTAGAACATGTACCTTCCTTAACCTTGATCTGAAAGCCATAACACAAGCGCTAATACGTGGTCTTGCGGATGAAATGATATAATAACTTGAGAACAACGAAAGACGAGGTAAAGTAGAATGCGAGGAAGAAATATATGACAGAGACAGAAGAGATGATTCTATCTTGACGTGCATGGCTGCATGTAACATCAACAAAGCCCAGTACGAAAGGACTCACGGCATTTTAATATCTCCCTAGTGGGCTCTCATATTCTACGACCGGCTGCAACCAGATGGCATCAATGAGCAAAACCTGCACTCTTGAAAGAAGAGTTGGATGTTTCGAACACAGTCATGAAAGAGAGAGATGGCTAGATGATCGTAGGTTGATCCGTGAGACCGGAGTAGCTTGTTCGTGTTCAGTGGGCAATGCACTCAAGCTGTTGCAGTTCACTGCATCACCATCCTAATTACCACAACACCTTCTACACACACACACTGCACACTTACTGATACCTCGCAAGCTGGAAACTCACCCACAATTTTAATATAATTATTTCGAAGCAGTATAACGGGTCGAATGTGATTCCTTGTCACGTGTCACACATGGGATCCTCAGGAGAACTTGCTTTCTTCCACATCCACGATAAAATATTGTTTAAAACGTGTTTTTATCGCCACACCTGTATGACTGAATTAACTGAGCGAACTGGTATGCAACGCGAAAGTCTTTACCACTGCTGGCTGCTGCAACACAGCTTGCCGGCTTGATTGCATTTGGCAACGAAGGACGAGCAAACCACCACCAGCGCTGATGCCCGTTTGTCACCTTCTTCTGTGCGTCACCTAACCAACCGGTCTGGTTTTTGCATAAGAATTCTCCATCCTCTGTCCTCCACCTTATTCTCTATCACCCGCCTTCTCGTCTCCCCCCTCCTCCTTCCAGGACATGATACAGAATTGATACTGTCTGGGTCCTAACCCACGGCAATTCAGCGCAGTAGCTTCTGCTGTCTTTATGCGTAAATAATATCGAAGCGTATAATTTTCCACCCGCGTAATATTTAACAGTATCGATAATGTCACATCATGTCGACGAAGTTCGAACATGATATTTTGCCTAAATATATCACACAAGAAAGAAATACTTAAATCTGCTTGAGAAATAAGTCACAATATTACAAGCATTTATGAATAATTCGCGATTTCCTAAAATGTTAAATTTTACAACGAAAACATTTTGACGTAAGTACGCCTGTACGGAAGGGTCATTCGGCAAAAAAGCTTAACAAAGTTGTGTAAGATCCATATCAACAATGTGTAAATATGGACCGACAACAATGGTCAGATTTTATATGAACTCCTTCGTGCATTTTTGTTACCTAAGAAACTAATTGTTGCGTCATCTGCTAAATCGGCACTGTTGTGTTACATTACTGCCGTCAACAATCCGCTTTCGTTATTGTGGCAAGAGCTGAGCTGTGAATCGTTTGTATATAGAAGAAGTGCGTCGTGGACTAGGTAATTTTGTGCTGGTAAAAACGTTTTTGAATATCAAAAGTACTTATCGTATATAAGAATTATTACATTACATTTCATTACATTACAGAGACGTATTTACGTCAGATTCTCCGGAACCGTGGTTCCACTGTCAATTCTTTACAACTGTTATGCTTAAATTACAATAATTTTCAAGCACGAACAGGCTTGTGAAACATAATAATATAACCCGAAAGATTAGATTCGGCAGACAACATGTTGCACTCTGATAAACCTGCAGGGTTTTATTTTAGTTATAATCTCTGTATCACTGACTGAGATTAAAATAATGTTTTATCACGTGTATTTCTTAAATAGCACATTAAACTAACGTTAAATTTGAAATTGTTTAAATTAAATATTGAAACGAAGTCTTTGTTTTACGGCACTAAATTTCGCCCTTAATTTTATCGTATGAGTTAAATACATCAAACGAAAGAGCCAAAAGACCATAATTATACAAACAACAAACCAGAAACCGTGAGATGATAATATTAACGTACACAATCGTAACAGAAATAAATTGCATTTTATGAGAAAATTATAACTGCTTTTTAAAGTTGTTTCTATAAAAAGTTGTCAGTGGAACCACGGTTCCGGAGAATTTGACGTAAATACGTCTATACGGAAAGGAAGTTTATATATTGGCTTTATTCTAAATATTTCCTTTATACATGCTTTACAATTGAG